TAAAAAATCTTCCTGGATGGAAGAGAAACGTCTTCAAACTTGGAAACAAAGTTCAGAGGATTGATTTAACTTTTTGAAACCCAGATTGAGTTAAGTATCATCCTGCGTTAATAGGGATAATGATGAGCATGTTACCTGGTGGGGGACGTGCAGGTTGAAGTCTAATCCACAGACAAACTCTGAGTGATGCTCCACGGTGTCCAGGAGAGGCTGGCTTTGACCAAAGTCCCACAACCTGAAGACGTCCACATCAACCAGGACAAGAGACATGGAGGGAGACAAACCAGTTAGATTTCATCATCACTGGGAGAACTGGGGTCACAGAAAACAGCACAGACTGTCATGCATGCAGGAAGCTCCTTCAGAGCAGGAAACTGGTTTCTTTACCTCTGATCTGACTGGTTTTAATGGGAAGAAGTACAAAAAAACTAAATTATGACACAATTTTAGTTTTTTTAACCAGACCATGAGCAGGAACTTAGAACCGAGTCAGCGGGATGTTCTGTGACGTTAGCCTGGCTTTAAATACCAGCTGCAATTCAGAGACGTTCTTTAAAAAGCTCAACTATGAGAAATATACTCAACTTTATTTATAAAACCCTTTAAAACAGCCACAGCTGCCACCAAGTGCTCCACTAATCAGGTCAATTTCAAACTGTATAAAAACAACACAAACGTCTAAGGGAATAAAACGAATATAACGCAAAAACAGGAATAGTCTCATTCTGTGTTAAAAGCCAAAGTTAAAATAGTATAAGACGAGTTTTAACAATAGATGGTAAAAAGGACTGTCTAATTTGGAGGGGGGGGGGCGACTGAAAAAGCTCTGAGCTTCTGATTGGACATCGGTGCCTCCAGCAGCAGCAGGTCAGCTGACCAGAAGCTGTTGATCAATCGGCATATGTCGGTTCTAAATGGCAGATTTCTCTGAACTGGCGTGCCAGAGACCATCCAATGGATCCAGGCCAGGATGGGTGTTTTCTGCTCCCTCTGACGTACTCCAGTTATAAAGCGTGCGGCTGTATTTTGCACCAACTGACGTGCGAGAAGCACTGGCTCACCTCAAAATAACGTGCATCACAGTTATCCAGCTATGATGCAAGGAAGGCCACGATTGGCCAACTGCCTGCCATGATAAAAGCTGGACTGATTGAAGCCGGGCGTACACTGGGTCATTTTTTACCCTTTTTGGGGCGACTCTCCAGTCGTGCAAAAATTTACCGATCAACCCGAGTTTCAGCCTGATGGTGCGTGGTGTAGTGTACAGAGGGCAACGAGGGCCGACCACCTAACAACCTCCCCCCCCATCAGGAATCGTAAGCTGGTCGTGGACGAATCACTCAGTGGGCAACAAGGATTCTTCTTCTTCTTCCTCTCAGAGGTAAACCCAGCAGCATGGCGGGGGGGCAATGAGTGAAATTAAGTTCTTTCTGTCAAACTGTCAGACCGTAGTAGCCACGTTAGCTCAGCCATGTCTTTGTCCAAAAACGTCGTCTCCTTTTCTTTTTAGAGCTTTCACTCTAGTGAGCTTCATGTTCCTCTGCTACTGGTTTGGCTTCCAGATAGACGAGTCCGAGTAGCGCCATCTCACTGCGGAGCGGAGTCCCACCTGGTTTTTAGACGTAGAGTGTGAGCAGGTAGATCGCATCAGAGCGTCGGGTCGCACAGGGAGAACAAACATGGTGAGCTGGGAACTATTAAACTCTGCGGTTTGGTCGTACGGCGTTAGCTGTAGCTGCGAGCAACGATTGAAAAAAAATCCCACAGCGTACGCCCGGCTTCACTGATCCCATTAAAAACACCGACCACCTTAAAACCCCAAGTATCAGACGACAGGCTTTAAAAAACCAGTGAAAAGGTTCACAAAGGTTACTGAGACAAAACACCATCACTTCAGGTTTTTCTTCCTTAAGATATAAAAAGTTCAGAGCNAATCCCACAGCGTACGCCCGGCTTCACTGATCCCATTAAAAACACCGACCACCTTAAAACCCCAAGTATCAGACGACAGGCTTTAAAAAACCAGTGAAAAGGTTCACAAAGGTTACTGAGACAAAACACCATCACTTCAGGTTTTTCTTCCTTAAGATATAAAAAGTTCAGAGCAACCAGGCTTTAATGTCCTTATGGCGTAGCAGTGTTGGTGTGAAGCAGAAGGCTGGTTTCTTTTTAACAGGTATGTATATCTGACTATCACCTGCATAGAAATGACATGCCGTGCCTTCTTAGGATGGACCCCAGGAAGAAGAGAAGGGGTCCTACCACTGAACCCTGTGGAACCCCGTAAGGAAGATAAGCTAGATTCATAATTCCCAAGGCTCCATTCACTCTCTATTGGAAAGATGAGACTAAAACCAGTCCAGTGTCGGACCATGAATGGCAACACGGTGGGTTAACCGAGACATGGCTGTCAGATCTAACAGTACAAAAACTCTATTAACAAAACTCAACAGACTGAAAAACACGGGGGGGGGGACTTAGAAGACCCGGACGGAGAGATGCGAGGAAGAACATCAAAAAAGCAAAGTTCAGAAGAATAAAGATGACGAAGGAGCGCCAATAAAGCAGCAGCAGCCAATCAGGCTAATTGAAAGACTGCTTCTCTTCCTGGTCATGACTGAGTGTGTGTTTTTTTTTGGGGGGGGGGGACCTGACGCAGCAAACACTCCCTCCAGACTCATCCACTTTGCAAATGTAATGAAATCATTTCAGGAGAGGATGGAGGCCTGGCTGGTCTGGCTCCATTAGGCCCCGTATTAATAGTGAAACCACCACGCACACACACACACACACACACACACACACACACACACACCCGTGCTCCAATAAGTAATGAGTGTGTAGGGAGAGTGGAGCACTGAGAGGTTTTATTCACCGAGGATTGAGCCGTTTGTCTAAATCACAGCAGCTTTCTGTAGCTCAGCAACTTCTTCAAAGTTCTGAGTATAAAAATACCAAATCCTTTAAATCCTCCTAATTTAAGACACCATGTGGTTAAACAGGCCGCACTGAAAGACATCAATACTTTAAGTCAAAAGGTTATTATCATTTCATGAGCCTGAGTTTAATCAGCAGTTTAATAAGGAGCACAGGAAGCGGTTAGGATGCGGTAGAGCCGGCCGTCTAACCCCCGCTGAGGGACAACATGGGGGCCTCTGACACTAACTGGTCTGCATACTTATTAACTAAAGTGCAGAGCGATTCTGCGCCGCTTAATGATTGCAGTGGCCATAAAATATCCCGTCTAAAACAAATGCATTTCTGTCACAGAGTCGTTGCGGTCATTAGAGGCAGCAGGAATAATCTGCAGCTGAGAGGCACTGCAGCACTGACTGCTGTCATCAGCGAGCAACAACCGCTGATTAACTGATCACTGCGACGGAGGCGGGACTTATTTCCTCATCCATCATTTGTCGGGATCTCCTGGGTGATTCCCGGGCTTCCAGGGCCAGGAGGGGTTCACTTCATTCAAGGAGCTCTGAGGTTGGAAGGTGTAACCAAGGCCAAGTCCCTCACCAGACCAGACCTCAATGATCCTCTCCATATCGAGCTGGTCTAGTGGCCAACATGGTGACCAATGACAGCCTGGAATGGGACCAAGGTGCTTCACTGGTTTCGCTTCTCCAAGGCTCATATTTTCTGCAGACGTGAGATTCATGTCTCCAAACATCCACCGCACTGTACCAGACCAAGCCTTCCTCTCAGCTACTCCTCGCTGTAGGTTGTGTCTTGAAGTCCATCTATGAAGGCGTCCTGACTCCACGCCTAAATCACTTCAAATGGTTCCTCCCTGGTGAGGTTCCTTAGAAAGTCGTTTAGTGGTTCTTACAGAAGAAGGATGCTTCTTTATTGGATCAGACTTAATCGGTTCCTGATAATGAGACATAGAAGAATAGCTGTACTCACATCAAAATGTAACCACCGAGATCAACCAACCAAC